GGTAGCACTGTCTCGTGTTGTTTCCACCAGCGCGGCAAATCTTTGTCATCACCATAATAATTGATGGATATCTAAAATATAAACATAAGGAGGAAGCAAGCCTGATGCCTGGCCCGTGTCTGAGCTATGACGTGAAAATTGTCCCGAAGCCATACATAAGTTGGGGCCGTTGGGCTCGGGCTGAAATGCAGGGCTCTAAAGCGCAGCTTGTTGCATTTAAGCAGCAAAAATACACACAAAATGACACCAAAATGGCCATCCTGGCCACACAGTTAAATAAATGATAATATTCAGTGATGTGAAATGTGGAGTATAGTCTGGCGCAGTTGCAGCTTGTACTTATTACTAAAACAAGAAAGCAAACGAGTAGCATTGATAGTCATTCATTTTAGTTAACATATGCTATGATAATTTGAACAGATTTTTATACTTATTGTAAAATAATGGTAATGAATATTGTCTCAAAAGTCATGGAAAAGTCATGGAAATGTATTGGTAAAAATGTGTACGAACCCTGCATATGCTTTCATGATGAGTTTGAGAACTTGTTAAAGGTGTACTAGTGGCACCGAATAGCCTGGGGTCAAATCTGTGTGACTGTTTTGCCATATTATGGTCCTCTGGTCAAAAATCATAAGTCTGATTGCTCAGAAAAATTATAAACTGCATGATTTGAGGTGTCATTCATGTTTGTAGCACAAACAACACAAGCACAAACAAGTCTTCAGGCCCAGAACTCCCTTTTTTGTGGTGTTGATTTGTGAAATGGTTCCAAATTGGGTCAGTAAGATTTTCTTTTAAATGATTAATGCTTTTATTCAACAAAGATGCCTTACATTTTCACGGTTTCCTCAAAAATATTAAGCAGCACAACTGTTTTCAATATTCATAAATAATAATAAGAAATGTTTCTTGAGAACCAAATCATCAAATTAGAATTATTTCTGAAGGATCATATGGCACTGAAGACTGGAGGAATGGCTACTGAAAATTCAGCTATTACAGGAATAAATTACATTTTAAAAGATATTAATTGTAATAATATTTTTCTGTTTCTAATGTATCTTTATCAAATAAATGCAGCCTTAGTGAGCATAAGAGACTTCTTTCAAAAATGTTAGAAAATTTTACCGACCCCAATCGTTTGAATGGCTGTGTACCTGTTGGCATTCACTATTATCAATATACTGTGTGTCTTCTAATCCAATTCTGATTCTGTTTTTTTCATTAGAACTGAAAAATGGAGTTCCTGTGCTGAGTGTGAATCACGGCTCGGGGACTCTAACACTGCAGCTGTCCGCGAGAGCCACTGTCACGGACCGCCGCTGGCATCACTTCGTCATCATCAGCGATGGCAAGGTAAGAAGCATAGATTGAAATGGAGGGCATGTGACCAGAATGAGACGCTGGGCTTTTGCCATTCCCAGAGGAATTTTTGTTTGACTTCATAATGTTCTCAACCTCACTTCAGTTTTATTGGGACATGAAGCTGAGAGTCCAGATCATCACATAGCTCTGAGGTTCACACCGGGTTAAGCAGATTGTGAGCTTTATCGCCCTCTGGGATTTGGGTCTAAAATATTCCATTATGAAACGTGACCTCTCGTGCACTCAGATGGTGTAGTACTTTGCCTTTAAGTTAAATCAGTGTGTGTGTGTGTGTGTTTGTGTAGACTGTCCAGATGATTCTGGACCACTGCTCTAGTGCCATGGTGAACGAGGTGGAAGGCCTGGGAGTTGAGGTGTTTGAGACTGATCAGTCGGTGTGCAAGGCCTCCGGAGAGACGCCAGGCAGTGAAAGGTAAAATTTGATCTGAAGATACTGATAGTTAGAGAAATACCCTGCTAAAAAGTATCTACTTAGACCATTTGCTTGCTGGTCCAGGATTCAACATTTTATTAAACTCCATGTTTATTAAAGAACCCCATGAAATGAAAACTAGAGTTTTGTGGATTTTTGATGGCATCCGAGTGTCATGGCCTTATACCTTTAGCCCATATATATATATGCTAGTGTCTTTTTTTTTACAGAACAACAGACCAAAATGCTGTCAACTTATTTTTCACTAAGGCATATTCAAATGTTTTTTCCAATAAAAATTCTCTCTAGAATACCACCTGCCTTTGACTAGCAATAGCAAATAGTAAATCATGGTTCCTGGCTGTGATGTAAACTAAATGCCACAATTGCTCATTTCCCTTCAGGTTTTTGGATGTCTACCAACCTCTCCAGTTGGGTGGGGTTAAAGAGACACACTCACTCCGTAGGTCACACCCCCATTACAAAGGATTTGTGGGATGTGTGAGGAACCTGGTGGTGGATAGTCAGGTAAAACCAGTGTAAATGTGTTTAGCTTTCTGTAGGGAGTCTTGGCCAAAGCAAAATATAACTTAACAAAACAAATAAAAAAAGACTATTCTTAAATACTCTCAACTGACAAAAATGCAAAATTGACTATTACAGACTCCTTTTCTTTCATTGTGCAAGGGACTGTGGGAAATATTAGCCAAAAACACATGCACAAACGCACACTCCCCAAAAATATTTTTGAAAAAAATAAATACAAATTTTAGCATGTTTGGCTTAATATTTAAAGCATACTATTTATTTTCCTGTCTGAGATTAAGACAATGTTTTTTGGGTTCCAATCCACAATCTTTTGTTTGGACAGAACAGACGTTCACCTGAGCCACTTTCTGACAGTGTGTCGATACGGATCAATGAGGTTCAGAATTGTGCTGACTCAGGCCTTTCTGTGTGCATGTGTCTGTTTTCTGTCAGGTGTACGACCTCGGCAGCGCAGCAGAGAGCGAGAACAGTGCCCCAGGATGTGCCCTAACAGATGGTGTGTGTCTGACCACTGGAGGACCCTCCTGTGGGGTCCATGGGAAATGTCTGGGGGAATGGGGCTCCTTCAGCTGTGATTGCCACCCTGGATATAGCGGACACAAGTGTGACAAAGCCCTTCCTGAGTGGTCGTTTGAGAAGGACAGTGTGCTGAGGTACCAGCTGAGAGGTGGAGGAAGTCCACGCAAAACCCAAGCGCACTTCCTGCTGAGAACCCGCTCCTCCATGGGCAGCCTGCTCAGCATGGCCTCACGTGACGCCAACGAGTTCATTATCCTGGAAGTGAGTGATACACATGAATGCAATTACACCTAGTGCAATTGCATTCATTTTAAGCATCCCTTATATGTCCAAATACATCTGAAAATGTTTTAAAGCTGTAACACTGTCATGTTCTTGTCTCTCAGATAGTAGATGGGTACCTCACTGTCCGTGCTAACCTTGGGGACGGCACTCACTCTCTGAAGTTAGCAGGTCATCACGTGAACCACGGCCAGTGGGTCTTTGTCAGCCTTCATCGCCATGACAACATCTTTACTCTGCGACTGGAGCAGGGTGGGGGTTCACGGGAGGTCACAGGGGTCCTGGGTCAGAAAAAGGAAATAGTAGTTCACCCCTCCAGTGTGTTTCTGGGAAACAGCGCCACTCCAAACACACAGGGAGACTTTCAGGGTGGGTTTTCTCTTCCCTTTCCCCCCTCATTGCTGTAATCCAGTAGCTGTGTAATGAGTGAAATTATGCACAGTCAGGTGCAAAATAAACCAGATGATCAAAATTACAGTTCCATTTTAAAATTACAGTCATTGTAAAGTCCAAGTTCACCGCTATATTGGCTAGTGAAAAAATACTTAGTAAACCTAAAAAAAAAAACTTAGAATAGAAAGTAAAAAAGTAACTTTGTACAAATTACTCTTTAAAATAAAAGTCTTAGAAACAAATACAAAATCTAAAAGTTGTATAGTGTTTTCACCATGTTTTTTTACCGTACAGGCTGTATGCGGGATGTAAGACTGAACGGTCACTCTCTGCCGCTGGATGGTCAGGGCACAGAGTTCAGTACTGTACTGATGCGCCGTGGGGTCGTGCCCGGCTGCCACTCTGACACCTGCAGTGCCAAACCCTGCCTGAGTCCGCTGTACTGCGTCGACCTGTGGAGGAAACATGAGTGCAGGTGAACACTCTCTCCCACACGGTTTCCCACTGTCAAATGCCTCTTCCTTTATTTCAACGTCCGCTCTCTCACTCCAGGTGTCCAGCCAATCAGGTTGCAGTGGTGGATGAGGTCACAGGTCTTTTGCATTGCGCCCCGTCCCCCTGCGGCCCCACCACATGTCGTAATGGTGGCACCTGCCTGGCTCACTCCTCTAAGAGCTACCAGTGCCGCTGTCCAGAGGGCTTCAGAGGCCAGTGGTGTGAGATCGGCCGGGTCAAATCTCTCCATCTCACAGCACTCAGTCCGAGCTCCATCCTAGCCATCAGCATGTGTCTGCTCGTCTTTTTTGGTAACTATCAGGGTATCATGGAACACTTTTCATGAAAAGCCTTGTAAAGTCTTCATTATCAATGTGGAACCATGATGAGACCCTCTCATTTTGCGTCAGTTAAGAAAGCTGTCAATAGAGAGCCAACACACAGAGGTAAGAATGATGAGGCAGGCCAGTCATCTGTGTGTGTGTGTGTGTGTGTGTACACCTCAGACAGGTATAACAATGATGTGACAGGCTGGCAGTGCCCTCCAGGCCTCTCTGCCAGCTCTGACACTCCGTCAGCCACATCACAAGCAGACACACAAATCCTTTTTAAAGCATTATTGCATGCAGGCAGGAAGAAATCACTCATCAACTGGAGCAAAAATGAGAAACGTGCTGCCAGATGATAGGATTGGTTGGGCTTATGGCCTTCAGAGAAATTTGGCAGAAAATGATGGGTTATTTTTGGATTTATCTGTCTTTAATTGAAAAGAGGAGTCTTATCATCCATGAACTGGCAAGATGACATGAGCTGGTGGAACATGTCAGACGTTTGCACTTAAAAAATGAAATTAAAACTGATCCTGTTTACTTTTTTCACTTTTTTGTGGATGATTTACATATTGTGCACGTTATTCCAAAAACGAAAATCTTTCAAAATCTTTGTAATCTTTCATCAAAATATGTTTTTTTTTCTCCACCTCTGAATCGCAAATCTGGGATCCAAAATCTTATTTAAACCTGTAAATAATTTAATTTGAAATATTTTGCACTGAATTACACTACCACTGCAAAGTTTGAGGTCGGTATGAATTTTTTAATGTTCTTAAAAAAAAGTCTCTTATGCATACCAAGGCTGCATTTATTTGAACAAAAATACAGTAAAAACAGTAATATTGTAAAATAATACTATTAAAAAAAAACTGTTTTCCATTCATATCATTTTTCATATTCAAATATATCATATATTTCATGTAATTTATCACTGCGAAGACAAAGCTGAATTTTTAGCAGCCATTACTCCAGTCTTCAGTGTCACGTGATTCTTTAGAAACCATTGCAATATGCTAATTTGCTCCTCAAGAAACATTTCTTATCGATTTTGGAAACAGTTCTTCGAAATATAAATATTTTGTAACATTATAATTGTCTTTACTGTCCCTTCGATCAATTTAGTGCATCCTTGCTGAATAAAAGTATTCATTTCTTTAATACTTAAAAAAAAGTAAAAAAAAAAAAAACTTACTGACCCCAAACTTTTGAACAGTTGTGTAAAAAAAAATGCAAAAGAGAAGCATTTTCATTAATTGTCTTAGACTTCTTTAGGACCTCTTTGCACGTCACATTATGGAAGTAAAATGTGTTGCAAAGGATTTGCCGTCATTTACCTTAAGCATCCACACTTCAACAAAAATATACTTTTAATAACTGGTGTCATCATTCTTGTATTAATCTCTCTCTCTCTGTCCTCTGCAGCCGTGCTTGTGGCGGTGACCGTATGGAATCAGAAGGGCAGTCGGAATAAGTTCCGCAAGCGAGGTGTTTACCACATCCCAGCGGAGCACGAGAGCTGGGAGGACATCCGGGAGAACATCCTCAACTACAACGAGGAGGGAGGAGGAGAGCAGGACCAGGTATTCCATTAACACAGGGCAGCCAGAGGAGATATTGATTTACTTTCAGGGGAATAACCTCCATCAGCATCTACACTGCAATGCCATCATCCTCTAGGTGGCAGCATTCAGCTCTTTAGAATTTCAATCTGCACAACATGATTGACACAGAATAGAATACTAGCATGCAGTTTACATACTGCCTACTGTTCCTCATACAGTTCAAAAGTGTGCTATATTGTTGTCACATGACCTCTTACAATGCATTTTTTTACAATGCATGGAAGTCATGAAGTGACATTCTATAGCACTTCCCCAGAATTAAAAGTGTCGCCTGTGTGTCCAACAGAATGCCTATGACATCACTGAGCTGAAGAGGCCGCTGTGTTCCAGCTTGTCCCAGTCCTCCTCCTGTACCACAGCCCCACTCATCAAGTCGTCCCAGGGCTCTCAGGAGGAGGTCCATCCCTGCGGAAACATCACCGTTGGAGCCACCCTTCCCTACCACCACAATGCCAGCTGCAGCGGTCACTGCTCCATGGACTTCAAGAGCTACGTGTCCCACATCATCTGGGAGGCTGACAATGACAGCCTGGCATTCCCCATGGACACCTACCACGTGTACTGCATCGAGGGAATGGGCTCCAGTGCGGGCAGCCTCAGCTCGCTGGGATCGGCCATTTCAGAGGAGGCCTTCACCTACGACTCCCTGCGGCACTGGGGCTCCAAGTTTGAAGCCCTCAGCGAGCTTTATCGAGGATCGGAGCTGGCCGTCCCCTACATGGACACGGTGCAAAGCCAAAGCCAGGAACAACAACAATAACTGGACGACTTCAAGCCCAGCGTTTGTTTTTGTGTTAGTGTTTCATAGCTTTTATAGGGTTCCAGTTTGAACGCTACAAAAACGTGTCCTAAGAAATGGTTTATGTTCATTTGTGATAGTCACACAGCTTTAAGAGTGAGGAGCAGCTGAGGTTAGAGAAATGTTTTGTTTTATTTATTGAGTAAAATATTAAATGTATTGTATTTATTTTTGCTCTGATAGGGAACAAAGCCAGTGAATCATCAGGACTTCACCATGATGAACATGGTATATGGTCACATCCAGCGTGTCACAACTAAGGTGCGTTTCAGTAAGCACACGTGACTAACACTGTGTTCCATTTGACTCCGAAATTTCCAGCTTGCTTAGTGGAAATGCACATTAGAATGCCACTTTATGTAAGATTTCCATCTTAGAAGCTTGCGCGGAACTTTGATTTTGCCAAAATGTGAATTCACACTACTGTTCAAAAGTTTGGGATCGGTAAGATTTTTATTGTTTAAAAATATATATATATACAGTAAAACATTAATATTGGGAAGTATTATTACTTTTTAAAATAACCTTTTTTATATTTTAATATATTTTTAAAAATGCAATTCATTCCTTTGATGGCAAAACTGAATTTCTAGGATTTTTTGATGAAAAGAAAGTAAAAAAAAGAGCGTTTGAACAATGATCAAAAGTGACAGTAAAGACACATTACAATTTAGTGCATTCTTGCTGAATAAAAGCATTAATTTCTTTAAAAAAAAAAAAAAAAATCTTACCGACCCCAAACTTTCACTTAAACAGGGTTCCAATCTTACTGGAAAACCAAAACAACCAAACAAATAAATAAATAAAGGATAATATCTTATGATAGAAAATACTTAATTCATTAAATTCCATAAAATCTCCAAAAAACCATCATCATTTTAAAAAGTAATCATTTAATTAAATTATTAAAGTCATGATAAATTACTGGAAAACTAATGTCATGGAAATTGCACAGACACATGTGTTAGAAAGTGTGGGAACCCTGCTTGAACATGACCCAGTTTACAATAAACATTCACTGCATCAATTAGACAAATTTCCTACATTTATACGCTGATGAAACCTGTTTAGCCGAGTTTTGCAGTGACAGTTGTGTAAAACACTAAATGATCTTTTCCAGATCATCATACACCAGCACAGCCATTTTGTTTTTTTATGTCATTGAGAATCAGACCACAGAACACGGTTTTATGGTCGGAAGTCATAGAAATGAAATAGATCCCACATCCGCCTTTGAATGGAGCGCAGCATTATTCCCAGCAGTTTACTGTTTAGGGTGTAATGTTTTATAAATCAGCACTTGACCAAAACTCTCTTGTTACAATGGACCCAGCTGCACTAGTGATGGATGCCCACTTCTGAATTTTAACTCTGAAGCATAAATTTGTCAAAAGAGTGTCATGAAGACACCAAAAGACTTCACAGGTGACTGATGTGCCACTACTGAATCACGCATCCGCTCATGCAAAAAGAGCACGAGTTATATTACTTTCAGTCAGTGGCAGTATAAATCTGCATTCTTCCATGAATATTCATTGTGTAGGTTTTTTTCTTTCTTTGTCTTTTTCATATGAGGGACGTAGTGTGTGATGCCAATCATTTCTGATGCTGGTGTGCTGAAACGTGGCGACACTATGGTCTGTCACAACACCAGATGAATGTATGGTGTATTGAGTAGCCGAGTCAAGACTCCACTGTGTCAAAGTCTGTTTAAAAAGTTCAAATGTGGCCAGACACAGCGCAAATACAATCATTAAAAAAGCTTATGAATATTTTAAATTGCAATGTAATTACAAAGGTTCTGTATAGTTCTATTTTTATTGTTGTGAAACTAAATTTGCAAGCTGCATTTTGTGAGAACAATGAGTCATAAGATTGTTTTTTCAGTTAGGTTAGTCCTCTAATAAATGCTCAGCAAAACCTGCAGAGACATAAACTAAGTCGAATACTTTTTTCTGGAGAGGTCCGGGCAATGTCACTTCATGCCTCTTGTAAAGCTAACAAGAGCACGAGGTCATTGCTACAATGGCGGATAGTTGACTTGAAATGTTCCTTTCAACCCCTCACAGACCTGTGCTGCTCTTTGTGCCATGTAAATAATGTACATACAGAAATACTTTTTCTAGGGACTTAACATTTTCCTTTTTGTATATGAATTGTAATAAATGAAATGTTTTCTTTGATCAACCGTGAGAGCCTTGTTATTTTGTGTAGTTTCCTCATCCTACATTTGACGCCTCAATGTCGCTGATTTTCTTGTGTTGTTTTACTGCCACCCAGCGGTGACTTACAGTAATCACAGGCTGTTTGTTTTTCTGCATTGCTTGCAGTAGCCTCCTGATCTCTAGTTTCCTGCTAATTTAGGTCCTTTATATTATCATCTACCTCATTTCCATGAATTTTCCAGCCTTTTTAAAACTCCTTGATATTTGAACCAAGTAAAGTTTGCTCTCATTCTATTACATGCTTTTCTGAACCTAGATCTGTTAAGAGCCATAAATTATCTTATCAATTTCCTTTTTATTCTTGACATGCTCCTGTTCTGCACCTATCAGACTGCTCTACTAATCTTTGTTAGCAGTTGTGTAGGTCAGTATAAAGCTCAGTTGAACAGGTAGAGTGAATGTTGTTGGCAGCTGGTCAGTCTCGTTTCTTTTGATTTGCTATCTGTTCTTCTTTGTGGTAATATACAGTAATATAATTTTCTACTTTGTCTATCACATATATTTTACTATATTTCTCTGGTTTGTTTTTTTTAGCTACCTACGTCTCTTTAGTGGGTGTCATGAAGTCTGACACATTTCTGGTTTATCTTCATGACCTTTCTTACACTTTAGGTTCTGCTTTATTAAATGTATTTATTATGTGACAGAATATTATGTTTTATTACACACACACACACACACACATATATATATATGCTCCATCTGTCTGAAAGTTCTCCAAGCAATCATAATGCAGTGGTATGTGGGACACATCATTAAAAGTAAAAGCATGTAGTTTGGAGTGGGTTCTTTGTCTCAGAGGTTCTTGCAGGGGGTTGGGAATTCAGGGGTAGGAAGCCCACTGAGGAGGGGACACTCGTTCCCAGACCTACACAATAACTCGCACAACAAAAGCATTGTAAGGAGAGTCCATGTCTTCAATGCCAGCCACATGTCTGGCAGACACCTCTACATACACACTGGCTGGCCACTGCGTAAACACATGCATCCTCTCTGCTTGAGGAACTCTTTGCAGTATGTAACAAAATGGCAAGAGACCATTATCCAACTCTTAACAATGAGAAAACAAACTCTTTACCAAAGAATTGAGCTCTAATAGCTAGCGGCTTCTGCAAATACTCAAAGCTGAGTTGTATGAGTTTCCTGTCAAAGATGCTCCACACATTGTGTATCAAAAGGTGTTTGTCTTCATCGCCTTTCCTCTGTTTATCTGGAGGTGAGGACAGCAACATCTTTTTTTGGGAGACCCAGATGTAAAAACGACACCTCAACACCCTCATTAGGACAATTTGCAATTCAGATTTGTCAGTCTTTCTTTTGTCACTCTACCAAAAGGTACATCACCGCCTCCCCCATCATACTCACATGCTATAGAGTCAACAGGGGGCCGACAGTGACTTCACGTTAGACCAGACAGTAATGTTTGTGCATTTCTGTACAGAGATTTTCTAAATTATCACTGTATGTAAAAATACTGTGAAACTGAGTTCAAAAGTTTAGGGCAAGTAAAATATAAGATATGTAATGTAAGATATTTCATTTTTTAATTACTTCACATTGGAAATTACACAGTCTTGAAATTGTTATTTGTACACATTATGTACAATTCATAGTACATTTTTACACTGTTCTTAAATCAACAATGTAGCTAACATGACTGGTTCAAGTCCAAGTCTAAATTAATTCAAGCTATGCTACAAACAAAAGGCATTGAATTCATAAATAGCAAGCACCTCAGATTATTAAATATGCCTTTGGCATTGAGGAACAAAATTGCAAATCAAATATTACAAAGACAAATCTATCTATATGAAATAAATATGCAGTTTGCTTAAATTCAGTTTGGTAAACTCACTTCTGAGGGGTGAAAACAGTCAAGTCTTACAGGAATATCTTCTGTCGCAGGAGAATGAAAACAAGGGAATGATGTAAAGGTTTAAGGAAATAAGCCAATAACCCATTCTGCTCGTTGTGCAGGGTCGTCCTGTTTAGCAGAGGTTGCACCACTGGGTTGGCATCCGACCACACTGATGCCAAAATTAAGAACATATGTTTCACATCATACGTTTTCACGCACGCACACACACATAATACAATTAAATTGTATTTACATAACATAAAACAGTAACATATGATCCATGAAGCAGCAGCATTTGTGCAGACCTCGGAGCTGGCAACATGGCCAGAAGCTCTTAAGCAGTTTCAGTCGGAGATCATTAATGTTTCATTTCTAGCTTCAGAAAATGGATATGAATCCATTCTTTGATGGAAGGCACTTTCGAGTGCGTCAAATACTGCTTTGGGAAACCAAACTTAGGTTCTCCCTCAATTTCACACCTGAACATCTGAAGGTTACAGCATCTCAACCTGGATTCAATACCGCACACAACTCCAAGTCTCTGGATGTGTTGGTCTGGAAGGTCTCTCACATCTCTGGGCTGTGACTGCATTAAATGAAGACTAGCTATGCCAGGTTCTTCTCAAACCCATCAGGCATTTGCAGGTTTCTCAGTGCTTTTAGGAGGGGTCAATATTCCGGCTACAGCCAATGGAGACATCCGGTCCAAGCTGTCCTGCTGCCGATCATGCGCTTCACTCTGAAAAAAAAAAAAGGATGTGTTAACCAGTTGAAGGTCAATATTCCGGCTACAGCTAATGGAGACATCCGGTCCAAGCTGTCCTGCTGCCGATCATGCGCTTCACTCTGAAAAAAAAAAAGGATGTGTTAACCAGTTGAATCTCAAATAAACCTGATCGAGGAGACGATGAAAATGAGAACTCACCAGCATGGCCAGATAGTCCACGTGGGTCTGTATGTTGTGTCGAGCTTCTGCCGCCACCTTTTTGAAGTCCTTCAGCTGTGGTCTGGGCCATTCACGTACGGCCCGTGCAAACGGGTTAATCCACCGCACACAGCTTGATATGCTGTCCCATGTGAGTCCTGGTGGGGAAGAAAAAGAAAATACTTAGAACAAAATCAATAAACTGATGAAACAACTTAAGCACAAAAAGGTCAGGGTTTCTGCAAGCTTTATGAAGGTTAATTTAAGACTTTTTAAAAAGTAATAAATTAAAGGAATCACAATAATCAAACCTTTTCCTGTACCTTCTGATTGCATTGCAAAAACCATGTTCTTCCTCAGTATTTTTTGTTTTGTTTTCCAGCGCAAAAGTCCAAATATTTAACAAATCAAGAT